TAATTTGGGATTAAATACTAAAAGACGTACTTACACTTAGGGGGTGTTTGTTTGCATGCAAGTGACTGATGAAAGTGAGAAAGTCACTTTTGTTTGCCAATTTTGGTGTTTGCTTGCATGCAAGTGGTTATGAAAGTAAAATGCAAGAAAGTTGTCACATAGGATTTAATGCAATTTTGATTTTCCCTAAAAAAATAGTGAAGTCACATGAAAGTGATATAAATGGTAACTAATTTTAATTAAATAACTTTAATTATATTTTCTAATTAATCTTATTTTGTCACATCATCTTTGTTAGGTCTCATGTTTATGAGCCTACTATCTAATCTAGTTTTGATGATTAACAAACAATTCCTAACAACGTTTGTCGAGTGTTTATATTTGCTTGTTAGGTATTCTACACAAAGATCCTTCGTTGGAGGTTGGATGGACTTACGCCTACACGATCATATCCATTGGAGGATAGAAGAAATATCGGAATGAAGTTTTGCATTTCAAGTCAAGTACAAGTTCAAGCTTCATCCGCAACCAAGACAAGCATATCGAAGATCTCTTAGCTTGGGTATATTATTTCTAGTTTAGATCTCATACTTTGTGTGTTTATGCTTAAAGCTCAAATATTACACACACATATACACGTTTTCGATTTATCGCTTTTAAGTTAAATCAAATAAATATGAAACAAATAGTTACATTTACAAACATACATGCTAGTTTCATATTTATCATCTTTATTTGCAAAATAATATGTTTATGGATTAAAGACTCGTTTACATTATTTTATATCTTTTCTCAAGTCTATTAATCTATTAAAAAGTGTTTCAAAACTTGTTTGTATTGATTTCACCAAAATCAAGTTTTAACAAATTCATATTGTTTAACAGTTAGCAAAATGAAGAGATTTCACAAACGGAAAATGATATTTTAAAATTTTCTTTTGTAACATGTTCATTTTCATGTTTATAAATATTTTCCCAAATTTTACATTTTTTAAATTTTATTTGCTATTTTTTAAACGGGTTCAAAGTTAAATTTTATTGTTCATGATATACCATGTGCACGTTATCAGTCGACTAATGAAATCATCAGTCGACCGATGAAAGTGGCTAGAAAAACAGAAAGTTTCTGCTCAGTCGATCGACCGATGCAGGTTATCAGTCGACTGATGAGTTCATCAGTCGACCGATGACGGATGAGCGGCCTGTAACGGTCAGTTCATCAGTCGACTGATGAACATTATCAGTCGACAGATGAACGGTCTATAACGGTCAGTTCATCAGTGGACTAATGAACAATATCAGTTGACTGATGGCACCGTAACGACTAGTTTTTTTAGCTTTCTGATTTTTCGGATTTTTTGTCATTTTGTTTGGATTTTCTTAGCTTTTGGGCTTTGTTTCATGAACCTATATATACCCCTTACCCTCTAACTTTTGAACCATAAAAGAAAAGTTTTAAAACAAGTTTATAAGGGTTTAAGTGTATTTAAAGTGTATTTTTACAAGAGTTTATGTGAAAAAGTTTTCACAAGAAGAAAAGATCATTTATTTCGTGTTTGGGCTTCAATCTCAATCTCTCACACTCTTATTTGTTAGAGAAGTTTTCTCTAAACTCAATTTCTAACTTTATATATATATATATATATATATAATTGGGTTGTGGTGAGTGATACATTGAGTGTGAGCTTAATTGAGTTCTCATCTTGTTAGAGAACAAGAACTTTGTATTTATGAGGCTATTTGTTGAGATCACATTGTAATATACAAGTACACCGAGAGGAGTGGTTGGTGAAAGACGTGGTTGATTCCAAAAGGAGTAGCGTCGGTTGTAAAGCCTAGGGAGAGATTATAAATCCGAGCGAAGGCGACACGTGAGAGACCAACACTTAGGACGTATTGTGTGATTGAATTGTGTGAGTTACAAACGTTTGTCGGTGAGCGTTAAACCTCGATTGTGTAGTGATTTTTGAGATAGTGGAGATTCTCCTTGAGAATGGGGAGCGGAGACGTAAGTCGAGAGTGACCGAACTCCGTGATCATATTGTGTGTTTGCGATTATCATTTGTCACTATCTCTTTTGTATATTTATTTATGTTTATATCGTCCTTGTTTTAATTATATAACCTTGCTCATAAGTTGTTGAATATCTCACTAGCAAGAGTAAATTAGTTAATGAGTTTTATATTGGCATTGATATTTGATTAGATTAGCAAATACCCTATTCACCCCCCTCTAGGGTAATTTCAATCTTCACATTACACTTTCAATAATAATTTAACTTTTTAAACAAACATTATATTTCACTTGGATGCTAATATGGATGTAAAATTCATTTGTAAAAAAAGTAACTTACATATTTTAAATTCTCTTTTGATTTGCCAAACGCCACCTTACTTTTATAATATATTACCCAGGCTTTCTCACTCGCACTTTTTTTCAGCCTATTAATTTTTCGCACGGGATCGATCTTATCGTCAGAAACAAACTCGCTCAACCTCAGCAACCCTATTCTCTCTCTCTCTCTCTCTCTCTCTCTCTCTCTCTCTCTCTCTCTTAATTCTCTTCGACCATCTCTCTCAAACGTATATCAAAGTTTATCTTACAAGATTAAGCTAGATTTCATATTGAGTTTAGTTTTGTTATTGCTCATTGATCACACACATCACCTATTGAGCTTTTAGCATTTCATACATTATATAATTGGATTGTGGTAAGTGATACATTGAGTGTGAGCTTAATTGAATTCTCATCTTGTTAGAGAATAAAAACTTTGTATTTGTGAGACTATTTGTTGAGATCACATTGTAATACACAAGTACACCGAGAAGAGTAGTTGATGAGAGACGTGGTTGATTCCAAGAGAAGTGGCGTTGGTTGTAAAGCCTAGGGAGAGGTTGTAAATACGAGCACT